CCTTCCCCTCCATACCAGACACCACTCTGCTCTTCTGTCCTTTCACCATCCAGTACCTGTCCAGAGTTTGACTCTGGCACCCTGCGACCTTGCTGAGAGAGCAGGTGACCAGCCTAGGGTACCTCTCTGGAGAGACGGGAGTGACAACAAAGCCCTTCCTCTTCACATATGTCTCTTTCAGAACCTGATTTTTGAAGGAAACAGATCTTATACAGTCCCTCTGTCGGCCTGTCCATCTGTCCTTTTCACCTCTCCACCTTTAACACCTTGAGCAGGGGGGAGAGCATTTCAAAGATATTAAATTCTTGCAATGTCTGTAAAATGGATACGTATCTAAGGAGGAGAGAGGGGGAAACTTTGATGAAAAATTCACAGCTTGGGTTTGACCTCTTTTAAAAAGACCTCACACCTAAGAGAGGGGTCATACATGCCTTCCCCATGGGAATGGCTTCATTTAAGTGCTTGCACCGTATAAAGCACAGGAGTCCATAGAGGTGAGGCCCAAAGCGGGTTCCTTCTGTTTTTTATCAGGATATCTTCACAGACATAAGAGAAATTACACTTCAAAACTGATTGCGCCTCTAGTTCAACCCACATTTCAGCCTGTCTAGCCCAGCTACCATCCCTTGCTGGACTTCCTCGCTGTGAACTGTGCAAATTGCCAGAGCTGGTCCAGTCCATGCTGCTGTCTCACTGGTTCTGTGCAAAGCCCTGCTGCTGAGAGGCTGCTATTTATAGCAGTGCAAACTCAGTGCAGGTCTTTGAAGCCAAAGGTGTAAAGCTGCTTCAGGAGAAGAGACAAGAGTCCTTTCCTTGTGATTCATTTTCCAGCCTGCAATTAAGCCCCATTAGAGGGGTAGTGTAAATGGTGGCTTATTATCTCTTTCCAATGACAAGCCGTCAGTTTACTTGGCTGTTGTTGTTAGCCACTGTTTTGACTTTGACGAATTATGGTACCCACACTTTCTGCTCTTGTTCAGGTATCTGGGCTTCACTGGTGTGAATTATCTCACACAGAGCTGAAGGCATTAGGGCTCAGGCTTAGATTTTGGGGGGAAACTTTATAATGTTAAGGATAGTTCCCCTTAGTGCCTGGTGGATCTCCTCACTGAAGGGTTGAAAAAAATCACTTAACCATTGAATTGCAATTGCTCAGGTACAGTCAAGCCTGCCTTGGGATTGAGAAGGTACAAGAGAAAGGAAAAGTCAACTCCTGCTCTATTCCTTGGTTCACATGAATCTTCACATGCCCAAAGCCAGTGGTTTCAGCCAAGGACCATCAATAAGGACCAGGCTTTGTATCTCTATACTTATATATTGACTTGCTGAACTCCACCCTGGATGTGTTCTGTTGTCTTCCTCAGGCCCTGAGCTGCTCCCTCCTGGCTGTACTAAGTGATGACATCCAAACTATGCTTCTTCCTTCATTGCAGTAGCTCTTTCTTGGTTCTAGTCCACTTTACTTTCAGGGTGTTAAAACTGCAGCCTGTACTGTACATTTCCTGCCCTCTCTAAAGTGCTGTTTGGATCTGCAGACTTCTGCCTCCAGTTGTTTTGTGACTGAATTATTTACATGCATACTTTGTTTTTGATCCAGGATGTACCAAGACAGAACGAGGACAGCTCCTATAAGGCTATCTTCCTAAGACACGCTAAGCAGGTATCCTGTCTAAAACATCTTGCTGAAAAATAAATAAAAAAGGCATGTGGACTTGCAAAAAGAAAAACTTATCTCTGATGTTGATACAAATCCATTTAGAAAAATGTTTTTTGGAAATGTAGCTCCATCTTCAAGTGGATACCCTGAAAACAGTATTGATTGACTTGCCAAAACCCCCAGAAAAATGGGACATTCAGCTGGGGTAGATTGGCTAGCCCCATATATCAGAGGAGGATTGGAGATTTGTGGTTGTGCTGGTGATGGGCTTGCACGTGTACCTTTTTTTCTTTTTTTGGCTTTAGTTTGTTTATTTACTGAAAGCAATTAGAAAGCCTTGGGTATTTCCCCCTCTCATCAGCATCATTTTCCATTTGCCTTCACAGCATTTGGAAACCAGACATCAGTCAGCGTTTGAGTAATTGATTCCTGCTCTTTCAGAGCCAAACTCTCTGTGTTCACAGGAGATGCTTTTAATGGTTTAATAAACTGTTATAAAGAACTCCTCGACTTAGTCAAGAGGAAAAAAAATCACTGCCAAAAGTCTTTGCACAATGGACCTCTCGCAGTTAATAGTTATAGCAATGCATGAAGGTGACAACGAACACGGGCTGCCATGCTGAATGCCCAGGGGGTGTCTCGGGAGGGAGGCAGTCAGGGTCACTGGTGGGTGGTTGGCTGAGAGGGAAGCAGGCAGCAGCGCCTGTGCTCCCAGCCCACTCACCCAGCTGCCTGCTGTGCCCGCCCTTTGGCAACTCCCCAGCTAGGGGCTGGTGAAGTCAGCAAGTGTTCCCATCACTGCTGGAAATACCCCACAGTGATGGGGAGTGCCTGTAACTCCCCTGAAGACTCTTGTAGGGAAGGACAAAGAGTGGCCCAGCAGTGTGGAGGGCTTTGTTATGTTCCCATGGGGGTGCTGTTGCTCCTCTGATATAAGCAGAGGTCCTTCTTTGTTGCGACAGTGTGTGAATAAAGAATTCTGGGACAAAAGTGACACAGGAGAAAACTTTATGCTCACAGACCTCTCTTTGCATTTTATTCTGCATTAGGGCTCAGCTATTGATGCCTCGCAGCTGCAACAACTCCTTAATGAAGAGATCCTGAAAGGTAAAGCTTTTACAACCCAGCTAATGTCATTAGTGCTTCCCTATCCTTAGCCTAGGGTAAATTAGACAGAGGATTTAGTGGCGTCCTGATGGTCCTCAAAAAATCCTTAGTGTGGCTTACTGCACTATTGCATCTTGAAGAATGAGAAGTGCCTCCACCAGGGTTCCTTTGGAACAGTTTGGTTTTATCTTTTTTCTAAATCAAAGTAATGTTCACATGAAGAAGGTGATGCAATCCAGACCAGCTGCTAACAGACTCTTTAATGCACGGCTGTTGGCAAAGCTGTGCATCTGTTTGACAGCCAAATTTCACCTTCCCCTCCCAGTTCTCCTGTGGGATAACCGCTGCTCTGCAGACCTACCCTGCCCCATGCTGTCCTTCTTCTGGGTGTCTCTGCAGCCCCCATGAGCACCCGGTGCCCCACCAATTGCAGCAGGAACTCAGTCCCTGGCTGGGCTGCACCAGTGAGCACCCCAGGGAGCTGTGCCTCCCACTCTTCTCACTGTCATCCAGTTTCTCCCAGTTCAGCCCTGGCCTGTATCGCTGCTCTGCAGAGGCCTCAAGCTGGCTTTCAGCATTTCCCAGCCTTCTTAACCTGCCCACCTTGAAAATAGCATGAGACAGGGGCACAGCCAGAGGGCTTGAACCAACATCAGTTGGTTCATCAGTCATGCACAACGCTCAAAGTGCTCCTAGGACTCGCTAATTCACCGTAAATAGCTTTTCTTGTTACTGTTATTTCCCTTATCCTTATTTCAAGAGGGAAGAGTTTCCATCAGGGCAGGTGGGTGGGCAGAGACTGAGCAGAGCAGCTACCTGTGAGCCCAAACAGGGCACCTGTCCTTGGGGAAGGGAGCAGTAGAGTTGTCTGAGACATGTCAGACTCTCTCAGTGGACCTCAGCCTGGCACGTAGCCCTTGCTTCTGTTTGAGACCCTGAGCCAGACCTGGGGCTTGTTAGCTACAGGAGCCTTCACGCTGGTGCCCTCCTTCCCTCTGAATGGTGACCTGGTGCCTCTGTCACCCCCCTCACTCTCGCTGATTCCTTCTGTTTTGTCAATCCTTACAGACGAAATGACCAGCCTGGGAGGAAGATTCAGCTTCGATTCATGCAGAGGCATTTTATCTCTGATGGATGTATCCTTTCAGCAGAAGCAATAAACTTCCCTGGTGCTGCCCATCCTTGCCTTGAGTTATGGCTGAGCTGAGCATCCCAGTGTGAGAACCTGCAAGTAAATATTAGCCACAGTCCTCAATAAATAACCGTCCCAGAGTCTGTGCAGGACTTTGCCATGCATGCCCTGGTGTGTCGGTGGAAAGCTGAGGGTCAACCTTCTGCTTCCAGCTAACTCTTTGCTCTTATTTTCACCTCTGCAGGGCCCAGGGCTTGGCTAAGCTTCACCCTTGGGTGCAGGGTCCCAGGCAGAGCCCGAAGCCAGGAGGCAGCATAGAGCTCAGGCATAGCTCAGCTCTTCCATCACGGCTGCAGCCATGCTGGCCTGTGATGGCAGCTCGAGCAGCCTGCTAGCACCACCAGCAAAGCTGGTGTTAGGGGAAGAAGCACTATCATCACCGAATCACAGGCACTTGCCTGGCAGACTATTCATACTTTCCAGTGTACCTTCCTTATTTAGATGGATCACACGGTCTTTTTACTGTTAACAAGACAACACTGGAAACACATTGCTGGCTGTTGTAGAACAAGAGGGCTGCTTGATGAAAACATAAATTCTCTTCCGTGTGTTTTCTCCCCCTTGCTTGCTCACTGTCTCTTTTCTTCCATGCTTTGAAATAACTTTGAGACATTTTCAGACCTTTACAAACTGCCAGGGAATGAATAAAAATGACCAGAAGTCCCTCTCTCTTTCCAGCTTTCCGCATCTAGCCAGTGAAAGAGACTTCTCCCCCTTTCCAAAGCCCATCCTAGGCTAAGTGGGCGCTGTGAATGCATGGCACGTGCAAAGAGCTGACAAAGCCACTGCTCTGCTTTAGTTCAGCATGGATTTTTCATTCTCTGGGCTGCATACAACCCATGTACAGTGTGACCTATCCTGGCCTGCAAAGACAGGATCAGCTTTTTTCAGTCAGGTTTCATGGCAGTGGCACTTGTCTGCTTATATTTAACCGGTGATGAGTTTTGTTTTCAGGGAGTTTTCGACATCCCAGCTGCATTGGGTGAGGTGCTGCATGTCTGCCCAGGACTCCTAGATGGTGTACAGAGGGGAGCAGGTCCACTGACATAGTCCTTCGAGCATCCATGGGAGATACCTGCTGACACCCATGGGCTCCTGCAGCTCATGGTAGGGAAATGTTTTCTTGCCTGCAGCATAAGCATGGCTCAAAGGCTGCTGCTGCCTTCTGATGGCAGGCATCAGGATCAGCTCCTCATGCTCTTGGCTCCTTCAGCGCCTGTTCCTCCAGAAGGATCCAGGCAGAGCTAATACTGTGCTGCCTCAGGCACAGAGGCAAGGCAATGTGCACATGTGGCCTGGAGCATGGGGTCTTGTTCATCCACAGGGGTCTCTGTACTCAGTGGCTAAATGGTTAAAGGCACCATATAAATAGAAACCTTTTGTTGTTTGTGAGCACAGGTATGAGCAGCTGTACAATGTGCCAAAGAAAGTGAATTTAACTGTTAAGCATAATTAAGAGCAGAAAAGCTCTTGGCTTTCTCAACACAAAGTAACAAATGGAAGAGACTGCATCTTATGTCTTTATGTAAAGCCAGCATCCTTGGGAATGAAGACAGCCAGGTTTAGCTCTCATTAACTGTTCAATTCTTAACTAAATGCACAGATCAACTCGAACGGGCGACTCACACTGCAGGAGTTCAGGAGCCTCTGGCAAAGACTCACTAAGTACATGGTACGTGGGGGCTGCTCTCTCTCCTCTACTGATACTGTACTCTTGGGCTTTTCATCAGCAGGGTGCAGGTGCTCTGTGATATCAAAGCACTGGGGGGAAAAAGGTTGCAGAGGTTGCTTGCTTAGTGGGTCAGATTTCCATCCTTTCATGCAAAGGTTAAGAGCTCAGGAAGCAGTAGTGTGTGTGAAGTGCTGCAAACGAGCAGCTGAGGCTTTTCTAGATCAGGGAATATTGAAGAAAAAGTGGGAAAAGGTATGAAGGCCAATTAGGCTCAGAATTTGATGGAAATCTCTGTTTGTGTGCCACCACTGGCAATTTTTTAAAAAGCTTTCTAAGCTGAAATGGGTTCTTGAACAGAGTAATCTGAAAAATGTCACTTCCTCATTGCTGCAGTTTGTAGCGTAGGATCTGATGAAAGTTTTTCTGGGAGAAATGTCTCTGCTCCAGGGTAAGCACTGGAAGCAGTGAGGACAGTAACTTGGTATTTAGGGTCCCTCCTAAATTCAGGCAGCTTGTCTGTGTCAGACCCTTCTCCCCCCAGTCTTGCTGAAGAATGGGAAGATTTTCTGAAGCCTCAAAGTTGTGTGGGCTCTGCTTTGTTTCATCCCTCTTGAGATGGTCTGAGGCCACCTAGGACATGGGGTGCCAGTTTCCCATCTAGCAATGGTGGTCTTCCCACTGACAGCACCTCAGATGTGGCTTGTGGGGTTTCAACGGTGTGTTGGGAAAGATGACCCCACACCATTCTGGGACTCAGGGACCCCTGGCTTACTTCAAGCATTACAGACAATGTCTTTTTGTCAGTGGAGTTGTGAGTATTCCCATTGCTACCTGCACACACGAACCAGGGAGAGTGAGCAAAAAGACTTCCACCCACCCAAAACTGTGGGATTTCTTACACCGTAATATACTGTCTGAGCCTTCTGTAAATGGGTCTCCCTTGTTGTAGTCACCCCATCTCATCTGTTGAACTTCCTTGCAACCTATTTATTAAGGAGGGAAAGCATCCTACATAATTAGATATAGTAGTAAATTTGGGGAATGCTGATACGAGCATGAAATCTGCCTTTACACTGTTTTTTAGGATATCTTCAGGAAGGAAGACAGAAATCATTCTGGATTTCTTGATGTGTCTGAATTTAAGAGCGCGATACAGACAGCAGGTACGTCCGTAGGTGCTGAGCAGCTCCCTTTCTTGTCCCTGTGCCAGTGAAGGAAAGGATGAAAAAGAGAAAGGGAAGAAAGAAGAGCTTCAGGGAGAAAGTGGTTTGGATTGCACAGAGGTGCCAGTTAGATCACAGCACTGCTCGGAGGTCTGCATTGTTTTAGGGCATTGAGACAGAAAGCTCATTTCATGGAGAAACCTTTTGCACTGCAGCTGGGGAGCCAGCAGGGAGATGCAGAGAAGCACAGCACTGGCCAGAGCCTGCAGACTGGTTTATCCGTAATCTCTCTAGGTCACGGACAAAACATCCAGCAGAGGAAAGGAGCAAGGAACAGTCGATGCTTGCACTTGCCCCAATTCCTGCAGTTTCTCTTCAGGGCAGTGACTAAGTCTGTAAGGGAAAGCCACAGTGACAGACATTTATTTAGTTTGCACTGACCTCTGTTGGCTACACGAATGCTGAAACTTGCAGGGAGTGCATGGGACCCCTTCACATCCATGAAGTATTTTAGCTGGGTCATCTCTCCAGAGACTTTTGGTACAGTAGAGAAGCTCCCATTTGGCTACCTGGAGCCTGGAGCGATGTTGTCCCCAGAAGGAACCTGGTGCAGAAGTGCTATCCATGGAAGCCATCACCTCAAGGGATGTACATGTAATATTTTGTTGCTGAGAGGTGGGCAGAGCGTTAGCATCTGCCTGAGGAGAGCAACACTAATGCGTCAAATGTCAAAGGAGAAGCTGCCAGGTCCGTTCTGTAAGAAAGTCGCTAAAGTGTAAAACTGGGAGGAAAATTGTACATTGAGAAGCCCTGGCAGCTGAAACAGTGCAGCTATGTGAAGGGATAAAAAGGCACTATTAAATGGCGAGTTCAGTACGTGTTAGGCTATAAGCAGTTCTGACTGGGGGGCAAAAAGAAAATTATAAGCTCATTCTTGCCTTCTTCTGAGTCAGACAGATGCATTTGAATCTGGCTTTGCATTGGGATGATCACTGTCCTGGCTTTTAAGCAGGAAGGAGTGGACAGCCTCAGAAAGAGCTTGGGAGGTCAGTGTTACCGCTGGGAATGGCACTAATATATCGAAATACAGCTCCCAGCCAGCTGTTCCCTGAAGCATTCAGCGCTTTCCCCAGCAAAATACTGAAGTGTGTGCTTAATTTTCACTGTTGTCCTAAAGCTTCAAAGCATAATAATGATGGGTCAAATTTTCTGCCAGAGTAAAGCAGGCTAGTTGCATTAACAGCAGTGCTGCTGTGAAATGCAGGAGCATTGGCCTGGGGTATTTACAAACTCCTCACTGGCAGTATTAAATGCATAAAAAAATAGGGAAACATGAAGTCTGTATTTGAAAGCTTGACTAAAACCAGATTGAGGAATCCAGCAGACAAAATGTGTGGGGAGTAACCTTGCAAATAAGCAACAGAACATAACTGAAATGTCTTGGGAACAAGACTGACACTTCAGTGTTGTTGATAAGGTTAATTGAGAGACATTGCCAGGTGAGAAGATTTCAGAGCAAATATATCCCAGACTGACCATGCCAAATTGTCAGTGTTTTACTTAAGACATGATTATGGCATCTCATAAGAAGCACTGCAATGCTTGCTGGAATCTGCTCTCCAGAGAGAGCTTGATTGAATTCCCACTGCCGTCAAAAGGTTAAAAATGAGATAGGATTAATTGCTGACTACTACAGTGGTTCTTGGCAGTGGTTTAAAACCAGAATCAAAGAAGAAATTTCATTAATTAGATTTTTTAATTACTATCTTTTTCTCCTAGACAAAAATCTGAAATCAGGTTTATCTTAATTTGAAATGTATCTCAAACCCAAATGTATTTCCATTATTTAAATATTGAGCATTGTGTGTCTGCTTCCTGCTGGAGACCTTCTCCAACTACACTCATGCAACCAAAGTTCATTGACGTACTAACCCACTTCCATCAGCTGTATCTCCCCCTGCACAGGTGTAGAGAAATCGTTTCCTTCTTTTCTGCTTATTCAACTAATTTGGCTCCATGATGAGTTCATTTAAACCTGAAAAGCTTAGAGCTAGCTGAAAAAGCAGGAAAGCTACTTCTTTTCCAGCTGAGCCACTAAAAACTAGGAGTGAGCAAATGAGACTTTTCTGAAGTCTCAGGGAATGCATTAAACCGAAGCTATCAGTCCAGCTCTCTGCAGAAAATTTCTCTTTTGTTTAGCAAATCAGCTTTTAGTGCCAAATATATTTAAATCATTTCTCTTATGTAGCCAGCACATTTAGGGTAGTTTTATTTAACTAATAAAAGAATCATTCTGAAAAGCAATTTTTGTTCGTTCAATTGAATACCAATTTCCATCCAAACAGACTGTGACACAAATACTGAATAATCAGCTAATAAAACAGAAATGCACCCTTCATCATTTTCTAATAGAAGAGAAAATGTAAAAATTAAGAATCCCAGGCATGCTATACTGCATAATAGCATGAACATGCGGTATCTTCCTGTTTAGCAGAAAGCGCCAGTGGTATTGTAAATGCTACGCTCAGACTTTAACGTTATGAGCCAAAGAAAATCACCCTTTCATATAGAAAATAAAAGCTAAAAAGGCAAAGCAAGGTAACACTAGATTAGTTAGCTCTATGTTTCCTGCTTGCTGACCTAAGCCACAATTCGAGGAATTGACTAAATGGACTTTGATTTTCCATCACCCTACCCTGACTCTTACGCACAAACCTGGGGGAAAGGCAAGCTGCCATCCAGGGATGCAGAGGAGACCCAGCATGACGGGGTGGGAGGCTGAGGGAGAGCCCCAGCTTCTTTGCAGGGTGCACAAGGCCAGCAGAGCCGGTCCATTATCCCACAGCGAGTCCCCAATGCTGTCATTCCTCTTCCCTCCACAGGTCTGGCCGCTAACGAGCAGCTGCTGCTCCTGATGACCCTGCGGTATGGCGATGCTGCCAGGAGAATTGGCTTCTCTGACTTTGTGTGCTGCATGCTGCGCCTTGAAACCATGACCTGTGAGTCTTGGCGCCGGGGCCTGGGGTCAGGCAGGGGATGTGGCAGCAGGGTCTCTCCCAGGGGAGCTTGCAAAGCCAGACTGAGAGCAGTGGCAGAAGGCATGAGACATGCTGCTAGACATGATGCTGCATGTCTAACAGCGTAGCTTGGAAATAACAAACCTGCCCAAAATCCAGGCATGGTCCAGGCATCCCTTTGGGCAGCCTGTCTGCCAGAACCAGATTTGCCTCCTGCCCACAGGAACAACTGGCTGGTAGAGAGCAGTTTAGTGCTGGGAGAAGGCAGCAGCTGGGAATACAGTGATGCCTTGGCTGAAAGGGGCTGGAAGGAAGGTCGGCCCCCAGATTCCTGTCCGAGCTCATCAGACCGCCTGTGGGCTGCAGTAGCACCACGCTGCCCTGTGTTTTTCCCAGCTGAGGAGCAATGGTAATGTATATCCAGAGCTTCTTCAGCTGCCAATCCTTTTTTTACTGCATGAATTTAGCCTGGACTTTGCAGGCGTGTCCTTAGAGCCCCTATGCACTAAGACTTGTTTTCTAAAAACAAGGTGTGTCTTTGTGCTGGTGCCCTTCCACACAAGCCTGAGCATCCTGATCCACAGCAGAGCTTCCTCCAGGGTGGTGTGGAGCGTTGCTGGTACCACAGCGGGGAGACTACATGCATTCAGAGCCAGTGAAGAGGAAAGAGGCAACTCATGTCAAGTGGAAGGCTTTCTCTTTTGGTTAAAAGTCAGAGGCAAGCGAGGTGCCTTTTTTTTTTTTACTGCACAGGTGTTCCCACCAACTTCAGTGAAGTTCTCTCAGTTTTTTGGTAAGGCGAAGGTCTGAGATCCTTCTCAGTGGATCAACAAAGCTGTGTTGTGTCCAGCTATTGTCTGGCAGTTGCAAGGAGGGAGTGTCTGTAAATAAGCCTTTGCCTAAAAGTAAATGGAATTCTATTTTACAAAAGCATAATTTTTACTATTTATAAGTATTTTGACTGGAAATACTGGTAGTTAAACAAACCAGTCGTCACCCATGTGCTAGAACATTGCTATAGCAATTTAGTTCATCTTTGGAATGAGCTGGATTTCAACAGTGCATGGAAATGAATGTTCATTTTTTGCCCATGTGTTTTTACCACTGATGTTTTATGGGCCAATAGTGGTCAGCGGATCCACCTGGATGACACTGCCTAAAATCCCATTTCAAGGCAGTACAGCAGAAGCAGCTCAAAAGTCAGAATATGTCCCGATTCCAATGCTTCCATTAAAAACAAACAACTTGTAAACACCCATTTTTTGTGATTATACATGTCACTTGCTGTAGATGAAAATTCTTATGCCTAAATTAGTACCATGGCATTTTTTTTTTTCATCTTAAAAAAGACCCTCTTACATTTTAAGTGCCAGTGTAAAGACAGCTCCTTTACATCCATGTGGAAACGAATCTCTAAAAGTTTCATTACTGCCTGTAATGAGTATCTTAAAATGCACTCAAGTCTTTCATTTATCACTTTACAGAGGGTTTAATGTGGAATACATTTCTCAAACTTTTCAAATCATTGCGAATAAGATTTTTACAGGAGAGGATAAGGGTGCTAAGTGGGAATAAAAGGCAGTCCACCTTTATGATGATATGAACGCAGCAGGGAAGATAAAATCTGTCCCATTAAATCATTACTCATCCTTTCAAGATAGCCAGGCATGAGACCCAAGCCAAAAGCAGCAGCTTCTTTGCAAACTCTATTTAACTGGAATTAATGAAGCGGTAAAGGGGCACTTACCTCTGCCCAGAGGAGGTGACTTCAGTGCTGTAGTTTGTTCCTAGAAAGACTGCAAGCTCAGCCCTGCAAATACAACCTTGTCAAGGGGATGGGCACAACATGGGGATTTCCTTGTTCTAAGCCTTTCTTCAGAGCACTATAGGCTGGATGTGCTTCATCGTGTTAGCTTTCCTCCCTGCCTTCTCTCTGCTCTGGATCATATAGGTAGCTCTGATTGGCTCCTAAGGGGCCGACGAGCAATGCACCCCTGTGCCCTGTTCCCACACTCTCCCAGCAGCTTTGCACTTTTGTCTAAAGCCGAGCAGGTTTCAAAACATTTGTGATCTTGCAATGTCTTTTCCATTCAGGGTGGGAAACAGGCTCCTGGAGAAATGTGTCATTCAAGGATAGACAGACCTAAATTTGTTTCAACTTTTTATTACTGTTTATAACAGCACATTTCTAGGAGAAAAGTAGTTTAAAAATAAATAAAATGAACTCAAAATACTGTGTTTTGACTTCGTTCAAACACTTGGGTTTGAACATTTCTCCTAGACAAACTGCAATATAAATGTGCACATAGAATATCAATATTTGAATGAATTTAAATTTTCTGATGGCAAAGTGTTCTGTCAGAAAACTTTCAGCAATGTTAATTTCAAACTCTAGCTGAATAACAGCAGCATCTGCATTTATATTCCCTGGAAAAATCTTGCAAGGCATACTAATAACTTCAAGAGAATCACTTTCTTTAGGGCACACTGTGATCACCCACTGCCAGGGAGGATGGAAAAGGATCAACAGAAAGTTTCCCTGTGGGAAGATGTGTTTCATTAGTTCACCCTTCTCCTGTCAGTCTTCAGGCGGGAGCTACTGTTGAAACAAATTATGAGAGCAGATGAAAGCAGTCACATTGAACACCCCCTGTCCCTACACTTTTGCCAAATTCTGGCCCTGCAATTGTGCTGCCTTCGCAGGCTGTGATCCAAGGGAGAAGGCTGAAGGGGTACCCAGCACAGAAATGAGATGTGGCTAGGCGGGACAGCATCCCAGCACAGGGATTGCAGCTCTGCTCCTCAGCTGCCGCAGCCTTATGTCTGCATAGCCTTCTTGCTTCTTCCTCATGAAATACAATTTTCTTTGTTCTACCCCTAGATGCATTTCAAAACTTGGCAGCAGGCGGATCACAAGTTTCGATGACAGCAACGGAGGTGAGGATGCTCCTTCCTTCTCTTCTCTCCAGGCCCAAAGGGGGACCACTGAATATGTTAGCAGGAGGGTGAAGTTAAAGATGATGTGTGATGTATGTTGCTAGGGGTTTTCCATCTGACACCAACAGCAGTGAGGGTTTCGCCTGGCTGGATGTGCGTAATGGGCAGCCGGGAGGTATTTCCCTGGGGTTCCCTGGCCGCAGTTATGCAGTCTCACTGGGGTGAGTACAGCTCAGTGGTGGCCATCCACGTCCAAAGCACAGAGTCTTCCCTTACTGACGCCAGACTGTCATCGCTGGAAACGTTGCTCAAAGTGACTTTGAGGAAGTGACAAAAAAATATCCATGCCCTCATTTCTTACTGCCCCATCTGTTAATTCTGCATTGCAAAACATCTTGGTTTTAAGAAAGAAATAGCAGACAAATGCTTGCTGCTGCTGTTTGTGTTAAAAGCACAGCCTGAAGGATAGCTAGCCGAATGGGGATACATCAAGCTTTTTATCAGCTAGTCTGAAGCAAAAATCCTGCTGTGCTCCGTAGTGATATGCCTGAGTGCTGCATTTTATCAGTCTGGGGACTGTTGTTTGACAATACAGTGTTTAAAAAGATTTTTTTTAAAAAACCTTCTACAATCTTGCTGGCTGCTGTTTACACTTTGTGGTTAGTTCAGTGGCTCGTAGTTCATTAGATCTTTGCTGCACCAAGAGCTGAGCACCAAGCAGAGAACCTGTTTTACGGGGTAGTCTGTAGGATAACCACATTCCCAGAGCCTGCCACCCCTTCCACTAGCGATCATGGAGGTGCCATCCTTTCCCAGCAATTGCTCGTGCTGCAGCTGCTGCTGCAATAATTTATCACGGAAATCAACATATGGAAAGTGTTTGTAGGTCTGAATTGTAATAAGGGAAAAAGGCAGTTCCAAAACCCCTTAACTATCCAGTGCAGGACAAAAGGGCTGTAGTCACTGGGTCACAACCTGAAGATACTGAGGCACATGTCTGAAGACTTAGCGTAACATCACTATCTAATGAACCTTTTCTTCTCCTTTTTCCAGTGGCTGACTCTTGTCATGTACACCTAAAGAGATGTCAGAGCTTAATGTGGCTGGTAAGAAATCTCATTAGTACTATACATACCGAGAAGAAAGGGGGGGTGTCCTTACAGCAGCCACAGTGAACATGGGTGGGGGCCTTACAGAAAGCTCACCCTGGGGTTATGGTGGGTTTTGAGAGGAAGAGAAAAGGCGAGAGCTGCAGCGTGAGTGGGGCTGGAGAGGGGCTGCAAAGGGAACTGGACTTTGGGCAATTTTTTCTGGGGAATTGCTGATGGCCTTATCAGTTGCTTAGATCACCAATGGCTCAGTTAGCCACTTGCCCCCCTGTTCCCAGCTGAGGTAATACATTTTCAATAGATCAACTAGCAGAACTTGTCTTTTTTGTCTTCTTCGAAGGGATGCAGTTACTCCTGCATATCTTACATAGATGTAGCAGATGTAAAGCCAAGTAGAGGGTGGGGATATGAAGTCAAATTTCTTGGTCAGTCTGATTTCACATTTTTAACTGAATTATGTAAATTAGTTTACCTTTGAACAACAGTCCCTACCATGTGTTTCGTTTGATGTTTACTCCCTCCATGTCAGACCTGGAGAGGGGCTTTTTTGCCCTGAAGTTTACCTGGACTTTCCAATTCTGCTTCTTGGTTCTAGGGAAGAACTCTGCCTTTTCCTACAAAACTTGTCCTGCTTATCCATCCATAAACTGTCTCAGCTGTCATGTTTCTACTGACCGGCTGGGATGCAGCTGTTCCCGGTTGCAGTGGGTAAAGCATTAGTGCTGGTCCCAGACAGTTGGCACTGAGGAGAAAACAGGGAGGAAACCTAGTCATTAGAGAAAAGGTACAATGGAGAGCCAGCAGCCTCTTGCCATTGTGCTGTGGTTGACCCCAAGAACTCATGGAGCACCCTTGGACAAAGTCACATGCTTTTCTTATCAATCCAGTTCAAAAACTGAGTGAAAAAACCCAAAAAACCAGGACCTTCATTGAAATCCAGGGAGTGCGTCCAGATGAGCCTTCCTATAGACAGGTATTACGATAATTAATAATACATGAACAGCATCTCTGGTATCTCACGTCCTGTTTCTGAAGGCAGTTGACATTGGATGCCAGCTTTGGTAGAAGTTGAAAGAGGAAATGTATAATCAGGGTGTAAATTACACTCCCCCAGGGAGAAAGCATGGTAGATTCAGACCCAAGGCAGGGATGGCTCTGTGTCTTTCACCCTTGGCTCCAGAACAGCATTCGTGCCCAGCTGCTCCTCTATTTTGGCTCCTAATTGCATCCAGTGTGTCCATCCACAGCAGGAGCTGGGCTTCACCACTCAACACTGTGATGCCTTCACCTCTCTGAGCTCTGTTTGCACACAGTTATTTGCTTGAAAGTCTGCCCTTTGCATTCAGAGAGCTTTGGACAATGCACCTTCCCTTTGTCACAGCAAAATGGTATTTTGATGTTTTGATGTGTAGAAACAGATTATTCACAACACAGCACCCACCCCTTGCACCGCAGACTATCGTGAGGTAAATATGAGACTAGAAGGACCTCATTTTGGGGCATGAAGTTGCTTAAATCATTGCTTGAAAATGATATTCATAGTCTATTTAGTCTTCTTTTTTTCCTTTCATGAATCATTCATAAACTGATCATAACTTCTGCAAATATATCATTAATCATAATTTTCTCTTACTGGTTTTGAATGAAATTCTGCCTGTAGGGTGTTCATAAGCAGTTCACTTGAACAATTCAGCAGCCACTTGCAGCCAGAGACTGGGCAGTCACAGCATGGGCCCCTCAGAGGACTGAAATTCTTTAAACTAGAGCCTAACAAACCATGAGCAATCTGACCAGACACACTTGGTGTTTGTTGGAAAAAAAATCTGTTGAAAAATATATTCTCATGAGTGATTTCTGAAGACTGACCTCCAGCTGTCTGTGTTTTGAGTGAGTCTACTTCTGTTTTAGGTGGCTTTTCTGCTCCCCAGTATGACACAGCCCAAGACCATCGTATACAAGAGAGCCATCCATGGGGCTCTTGAGAAACCAAACACTGTGAAGGAGTGAAGCCAGATTTCTTATGGATATTTGCTTACGCTTCATGGTACTCAGATGTCTGGATGGAGAGTCCTTTTCAGGCAAACTGGAGTTGCTTTGGAGAGAGAAGAGGAGATAATGAGAGAGACCCATGGGCAAGCTTGTAGTACTTAATGGTTGGGGCAAGCTGGAAGCACTGAATATAATCTCCTCTCATCTTCATGTACATAGGATGGCTGGTTTTCCCGGTTAATGCACAGAAATCAGGAACAGCTCCATTAACTTCATTGCAAGTAAGAACAGAATCAGGCCTTTTGTGTGGAAGGAGTGACTATAGCTTAGTTAACAGAAACAATTAAGACACAGTTTTATTTGAATTATTTCTTAGTTTGCTTGTGTGCCATTTCTAAATGCCAGAAAAAGGTTGAAGAAATTAATCATAATTCATAAATAACACTAGGAGCTTTGCAATTTTTTTTTACTTTTTATTAATTAAAAAACCCCAATAAATAAAGAAAGTTTTATGCATACTTGTGTTCATCAACTGTAGGGATTCCATTTTATTTGCTACAGCAATGAAGAGGCATATTAGAGTCGTAGAACAGGTTGTTCAGTGTTTTTTTCTGATTTCCAGCATCTATATCAGGACTGTCTGGGAAGAGACAAATTTATCTGAACTGCATGGTCTTTCTCTGTCCTACTGTCTTTAAAAATACAGGGCTTCTTCAGATATAATTCCTGCTCAAAAGTTTAACTTAAATCTGCTAAATAGCTGTAACCTGTCTGTAGTCCATATGCAAACTCCATTTTCATACATTTTTATCATGGTGATAAAAGCAAATCTAGTGATCTATTCTACTCAACTATTGAAAAAAAAAAATCTCTGACAACTCTATTTGTGAAAATGCCAAAAAGAAGGATGCAAATGTCGATGGATAAAAGTGATTCAGGGTTGCCATGGCAATATAATTCACACCATGCCTCACCCAGACCTTCCGCACAAGTTTCCATTGAGGCGTCCACACACTAGCAACAGATTTACTTATTTGGCAGTGAGACATTACACGCTGGAGCAACAACTACGTCATAAGGTAAAGAAGGGACCCGTGTCTTTGTTATCATGAGGTCAGTCTGTGGCAGTGTCTCGTTCTGCAGCTTGGAGAGCATTACTCATGTTGGTAGGTTGTATGCAAGCGGGGCCACTGAACCCACCCTTTCACTGAAAATGTGGGGAAAGAGAAATCAGTAACATTAGACTTCTAATATTTCACAGTTATTTTTAAACAAACCAATTCCATCTCCAAAGTGTGACTTACACATCCCTCCTGAAATCATTAATCATTAATTAAGCTCTCTGAAAATAAAACCAAAAGTTGGCAAAGAGAGAAGATAAATAAAAAAGGTGGTCGTGGAAAATTAAATATGCTTTGCTAAAAAAGCACAATAGTAGATCCATTGCAGAGAAGTACACTTGGTTAGTTTAGCCTGGGAATTCAAAAAGGGTAAGTAGAAATCTGGAAGTATTTCTCTATGACATCCACCCCACAGTTCAGGGATGCTCAAGCTGGCTCAGACCTACTGGGGACAAGCTATTTGTAGCTACACAGAAGTCACTCATGGTAAAATTGTGAAATTCAGTCCAAGTCAACAGGTTTAAATACATTCTTGTTGTATGAAAGTCCCACCTATAAAAATACCAAGCTGTTAAGATCAGCACATTAAGATCAGTCTTAAAAATCTTCATTTGCAGACAATATGGATTACGTTTCCTTTTGTTACGATATATAATTGCCTTTCTGTGGAAGGCAATTCTGCTTGTTGTGAGACAAAGATCCTTGTCTCTAATAACTTAGTCTGGCCACAGACTAAAATGTTTCTTCTTCATTAAAAAGCTAGCAGCAGACACCAGACATC